TGTTCAGACTTCTTTTTGATATTATCAAGAAATATAAAAGTGCTTAGACAGTTATACAGTGTTCGTGCGCCTTTGAATTAATTAATTTCAAGATCGTTGACATTCTTCCTCCTGATCCTACATCGAAGGTTCGCGGGAAGGCAGATCCCGGGGGTCTGTTGTACATCAGCTGCATGCACTGCTCCCACTTCACAGACGATATAATTTGTTTTGGCAAGTATTTCTTAATTAATGCTGTATTGCCGTACGGATGTGCCTTATAATTGGAATAGACGTGACACCTGAAATCATCGAATTCTAACGTGTGGAGCATCTTGTTGAAGGACTTGAGCGCTGGTTCCATCAACCTTGTGTGGAATGCGCCCGACACCGGTAGCCTGGTTAACTTGTAAAGTCCGTATTTCTTCGCGTTCTTTTCTATGTATTCAAGAGCCTGAATATTCCCAGCCAAGATCTTCGATTGAGTGTACAAATATACTGCCACCCTACAATCATTCTTTTCATAATATCTAACATAACACCATACTTTTATGTATGTTTATTATAAATTATCTCAAATTAAAAAAATTAATAATTAAATTTCATTACAATGTAATATAATAGGCACATATAAAGCCTTGTACAGACCAAACAGAACATTGTTACAAACCGACAATGTATTCAACAAAATTCAATTTTAAATTCAGGAAATTATGAGATATATTTGTATGACACATTTTATTGGATACATGGTTGTCGACAAATATTGAAAGTGAAAAATATGAATAATATCAAATGTGAAATAATATCAAATGACAGTTGGTATTTTCCAATAAGAGACATAGTCTCTAATAATAAAAATAATAGTTATTGAAATTCTTTAGAACTATTAGGTGTTGGAATTAATTCGTAGCGTTTTACAAGAGATGGGAAGTACTTTCATTAATGTATTTTTTAATGCTCATGTGAAATAAATAACATTCTTTCATTAAAAAACGAATTAATTCCAACACCTAATATATCATGATTTTTTCAAAATTCAAACACTGCAATTTTAATACAGTACAGAGTTTTATTTCAGAGTTGTGACATTTTCAGGATTAAAAAATATGATATTTATATAAATATCAAAATACTCAATATATACCAATGCATTTCAAATATACGTATATATCCAAATATAGATATTTATAAAATTTCTCTATCTTACAAAGAATCTAGACTCATATTTTGTTCAAAGTTTTTTCAAAGAATTATTAAAATTGTTACACATTTGTTTGCTACATTTTTGTTATCTAAATTGTCGATGAGAAAATTTCTTGGTCTAGACAAAGCTTAGTACAGGAATGGTTGAAATGATTCTTACCGACAAACTGGTATCTCTATACCGCAATCTTGTGCCCACTTCTCGGCATCCTTGCACGCCTGTGATATTGAAGCTTGTGGAGAACACTGGACCGATAGCATTCCTTGATGACATTTGTTAGAAGCGTACTGCATCGCGGCGCCTCTCACAGAGACTAGTCTGATGCCATTCTCGAAGGATAAAGCGCCTGAGAAGATCAGGGCAGTCAGTTCCCCTACACTATAGCCCACGGCTACTTTACATGTTTCGAATACCCTGGGCCTTTCCTCACGGAGTTGCTCCAGTGCAGCCAGTGAACTCACCACTGTGGCTGGCTGATTAAAGCGAGTCTCATTCAGCTTCTCCTGTGGACCTCTTAGGCAGAGATCTAGTAGATTGTATTCCAGAATCTCGTTAGCTATCTCGAATAATTCTCTCGCCTGCGGAAAGCGCAAGTATTTCTGAACCATGCCAACTTTTATGGTACCCTGTCCTGGAAAGAGCACAATGCAAGTGTCCAATGGATCAATCTTCGGCTTGACAACTTCTTCCTCTGAGGTAGGAGCATCGACCGGATAAGGGCTCGTTATCCAATTTGTATCTTTGACATCACTGTAAGTGGCAGCTTCCTTCAGAAGACGAGAAACGTTCTCCTCACCCAAGGAAGATTCGACATCGCTCGCGGCACGTTCATTTTGTGATTCGCCGATATTCGATGTATGGCTACTGTCGTTTTTCGTGGCAGTGGAGTCATTGTTCACCTGTCTCAAAATTAACAAACGACTCAAGCAGGGCACCGTTTTAGCAGACAGGACTCGCTGGAGTATCGTTACTGACAACATTGTGATTAACGATGATGCTAATTCAGAATATATAATTCAATATATATCCTATTCGTAACTGTCAGTTTATAATTATCGTTAATTACAACGTTGAGTTGCAATCATGTGTGTCGCATGCGTATTCTAACCTATTCTATCATAGTCATCATAACATAACCAATCATAAAACATATGCCCGTCAACCCTGATCAGCCCGTCATCCAGTATTGAAATTTGAAAAAATCTGCGAACAATGCGAACATAAACTATTGAACTTCGAATACACAGTAGTTAGATATTCGCACGATATAAATGATATAACACGATACGGCGACGTGCAACGCATGGTATCCAATCAATGTATAGCGTTTCCAGAAGAGCTATACGTCTATTGGATATCGCGTGTCCTACGCCGCGTATTCACACTGGACGTGATGAATTATGAGTGATGAGCAATATCCAATGAAAGCTCTGCTTTTTCTCACGTGACGATGCAAAGCAGAGCTCTCTGTAGGTTTGTTCGCGTTGCATGAAATCCTCAAATATTTTTTCATTTTAAAATAAGATAGATATATATTTGACTTTAAAAAGAGAGAAAGCGAGAGAAATCGAGTGTAAAAAGTGCAAGCAACACGAACAGATCTATTGGATATGGCTCGTAGCTCATCGTTCTCGTGTTACCAGTAGGTCTGTTCGACTTGCTTAATACTTTTTACACTCAGCATCTTTGCTTTCTCTCTTTTCAGCGCCAAATATATATCTATCTCATTTTAAGTGTAAAAAGTGTAAAAAAGCTGTAAGCAGGTCGAACAGACCAAGTGACGTTTAGACTCTGCGCATGATAGAAGGAATAAGGAATTAGGAATAAAGAATAAATGATTCCTATCAGAAACCGTGTATTCCGATTTCTGATAGGTTAGAATCGTTTATTCTTTATTCCTAATTCCTTATTTCTTCTATTGTGCGCAGAGCCTTACATGACTCGATTTATGCCAAAATTTAACATCAATGTATGAAATTGGCCAATCATAGCTGTTCCTTTTAAGAATGGGACTGTAACTGGCCATTTTCATAAAATTGATGTCACAACTTCGACGTAAATCGAGCTGTGTAAACGTATAATAATGTATATTGGGATCTGGATATACCCAGCAAAAACGAGAATGAATTAAAATGGATTGAAATTTTTTTCTATCCGAATTTAAAAAAAAAATAGCGAATACTTTTTTTTGGATTTAATTGGATTCAATTGGATTCAATAAGATTCAATTGGATTGAAAAACTGCATTTCCTATTTAAAATTTTGAATTGAACAGTATTCACAATGTGTGTGTTATGTACAGAAAAAGTTAATATTATTTTTAAATTGAAAGGCATAGAGATATGCCATGCATTCAATTCCTATAAATGAATAAAAATGCATTCAGGATTGAAAAGCATTCATTTTAACATTCGTGAATCAATATTTCTGAAAATCTGAATCCATTTCAATTCATTTCAATCCATATTTTCATTTGTTGGGTACCTAGTCAGAAATGATAATGGAATCGAATTGACATCGATTCGATGTCGATTCCATTGTCATTTCTGACTGGGATATCAGCGATTTTTCTCCTTAACTCGCTCTATTCTTCTCGCTTTAAGTAAAGACGAGAAAGACAGATGAAGTCGAGAAGGACTGAACGAGTGGAAGAGAAAAATCGCTGGCGTTCCCGAACTCCAATGTGCTTGTTACTTCTTGATGACTCATATTCTTCGGATAACTTTGACGATATTTCGAAGCTGTCGAAGACACCTATTTCAATTCTCTCTACTCTTTATCACAAATATTGTATAACCAAATAAAATATATATCCGTTATTCTTAAATTACAATGTAATTAAGAAATAATTGAATAATAATTTATTTATCATTTAAATAATTATTTAAATAATTCTTTATTTAACTTGACGATTTTAATGAATTCCTCAAACTCGTCACAAATGTCTAAAAGTATAATATTTAAAATTTTACCTTCTATGCAATAATATGTTTAGGATAGTTGTAATAAAATAAATAATTTTATAAGAAATTTCCTTAAATTGTATCTACACATTTTCATATAAAACATTAAATTTATCCAGGTACTGTATTGTCGCAATAATACATCTCATGTTCGCATGCATCTAATTGTTTCATTCTGTTACAATTCGCATGATTTATAGTAAGTAAACCAGGGTATGGTGTCAATGTTGTTACCGAATAATTATAACGTAACATTCCATGCACAGACCTTTAATTGGACCACAGTAATTCGCTTATAAATAGCAATAATTAACCACGTGTTGAACAATAAACTCTCGTATACATTCAAGGTTTTATGACGTTACATAAAATCGATCAATTGAACAAGAGCGACGAAATGTAGCTCATGACAGACAATTAATTAATTAATTAAAGCAATGAGGATACCTTCTATGACATTATAATTTTATTTCATATAAAATATGCTTCATTTATAACTTTAATTTTACTTAGTCGTATATACTCGATTCCGATATGCCTGGCGTTCTCATTCCCTTGGCTAAAGGTGTCATCTTTGCTTTTCAATGTCAATAAGCGTGTTCATGAAGTGGCGCGAGGACAAGTGTCGAGGCGCGCGATTATATTGTGAGCTAATTGCCGCATGTGCGTGTACATATACACACAAGTTAAGAAAGAGAGAGATAGAGAGAGAAATTGTCGCAACGCTAATTAATTGTCGCCGATTGCGTGCCAAATCATCCCCTCCTCATTGCAGCAAGAACACACCTTCGAAGGGACGAGCGGGGTGCAGAAGATGTTGCTAAAATAAAAGCGAAACAAGACAGGGTCCACAGGGAGTGACGAGACGAGCCCGCGACGTGTAGAAGGGCCGGGCATTTTTTTTTTGCAGTACGCGCGAGTGAAATCAAAGAAGGTACTACATCGCGCCCTCGGAAGCTGCGTCATCGGTGGAGAACAATGAACAATAATTTTCACAGTGAAGTCGAGAGATTTCCTTTCGTTATTCGTGCTTTTATAGAACTTGTGTAGTGAAATCAGCAATATCGGCCTCTCTAGATTTTTTACAGATTGTCTGCTTTGAACACGAGATTTTCGACTTTACGTCATTCATTGTTAAATATTACAGTTAAACTAATTCTTTGAGTTAAATAACGTTTCGTTAGTTTCTACTTCCATGTGTCAAAATATATTATTTTAACAAACCATGTGAATAAGAAAGCCACAACCGTGTCTCATCAACCCATTCCTAGTGTTAAATTGTTTAGTTTTAGAACAAATGTCCATTTGACATACGTATTTTATAAATAATAGGTAATCAACTTTAATAAGTCAATTTAATAGGTATATCTCTTGTGTGAGTTAAATTATTTAATTTTATTATTTTAATTAAGTGACATATTAAATAGGAGCAGTGATTTCCTGGAATGATTAAAAATGACACAAAATCATGTATAATTTTACATCACAAATTTAACAGTGTTGGTCGTTTATAATCTCTTACATCTGCTAAAAGAAATTATAATCCCATCAAGATGCAATAAAATCGTGATTATTTCACACTGTCCTATTTCTTGATGCACAATGTAATTGAATGGGTATTTTATATAAGCCATCAAGACGTTTGAGCATAGCTTGGTATGGCATTTCGTTTCGCCACAAATATCTCAAGTCAATTGATACCTCAGCCAAATGGTTTGTTGTGTCTTGTGATGACCCATTTCTTTACACGATGTATATATTCAATCGGCTAAATAAATCCTATCGAAAATTAAATTAACGTTTGATTAGGCTCTCGCGGTTTAAGAAAGTAACGGAAGCGTTGCAAAAAATAAATTAATGTTATAAATTAAAAAGAAAATGGATATGAAATAGATAAAAGAAAATGAAGGACTTTTCAATTATCAAGCTTTTTAATTACCAATTTAAATTCGTAATGTCAAATTTTATTCAAGTCAAGTCATTTTTTAATTATTCCTATAGGTCGCCTCTGCTTCTACTCGATATATTGTTATTTTAATTAATTGTAAAACAATAAAGTTAGACACTTTAACTGAAGAAATGTATCAAATTTGATTCAAATATAGTTATTATTTACTAAGTGTATATGTTAATTTATTTTGAAACTAAATTGTGAGCAATTCAACTTGCGTAAAAAGAAGTCGATTAGATGACCATTCTTTTAATCATTGTTTTGTATTAAAATAATAAATAATACATTTTAATACACATGAAAATGAAAAATAATCAAATGTTATTTTTAACTCAACGAATTGATATAAATTGGATCCGTAATTTAATAATTACAATTAATAGTGACGCAACACGTAATTGTTTGCAGGTTCATTATCAAAGTGAGTACATATTATATATAATATAACGAGATTATAATGTGGACGGATGAAGAATCTGCACCGTGGGACATTGAGGAACCTGCTCCGGAAGCGGGTGCCGAGGGTGCGACGGAAGGTGCGCCCGTTGAGGGTGCAGCTGCTGCCGAGAAACCTGTCTTGAAATTGTTAAAGCTTGAGCCGCCACATTACAATCACCACTGGGTTCGACCACTGTTTCTTAATTACGCGTATCTTTATGATTATAGGTAAGATGCGAAGATACATAAGAATCTAAGTTTTTTAATTGCATGATTAATACAATTGTATAAAAAATATAGAGGTTATAAAATTAATCAGATCGTTAAAAAATAGTATGCAATCTTTCGCGGAAGAAATTTTTTTGTTTATCAAAATAGCTTAAACCGAACTTTAGTTTAAATAATTTTATTTTAAATATCTTGAGAGCAGAAGACTGTCTAAATAGATAAATAAATAACATAGAAATAATATGTTTTAAAACGTAAATTTTAAAATGATTGAATAAAATATATATTAATTTAACACATATTACAAAAGGTTAATTTTTCAATCTCGGAAAGATATGCTTTGTTTATAAACTGTGTCAGTATTATTTTTGTTTGTGTTTTAACTTCTTAAATAATCTTTATCTTTTAATATATTTATTTTGTGTGAAATAAACACAAATTTGAGTGGCTCGTTTGAGATACGTAAAATGTGTTAAATTTAATTTAATACAAATTTTCCATATAACAAAGCATTATAAATTTATAATTGTGAAATTACGTTATAAAATATTGAACTCACGATAATGAACAAAGATTGTTTGTAATCTCGAAATTATTTCTCAATCTCGGAATGATCTTTCTACAGGAAGAACTATTACGATGACGTGATCGATTATCTTAATTCGAGGCAGAAAGGTATATACCGCGAGCCACCCAGGGCTCAAGAGTGGGCAGAAAGAGCTATAAGGACCTACGATCAAAAGAATATGGACAAGAGCTTCAAGCGATCGGCCGACATGAAATACATGACTAATATGACATTCACAGGCAGACACTACAGTTATCATACTCGTGCTTACTATAGTCTGAAATACCAGAAGATTCTGTGAATTCGCAGACCGCTGTTAAAAGCAATCAAAAGACAACTATCAAAGACAAGAAAATGAAATTTCACATATCCGTTCACGTATACACAATCTCTCAAGATCTTCATCAATATTTACTTTTTGACGTATGTCTTTCTAATTGTCTCTATTGTATTTCTTGTTTGCAACTAGATAATTTTTATTAGGTGTTTTGTATAAACTAGTGAGATAAATAATATTGTAATTCAAATATGATTGGCAGTTTGGATAAAATCACCAATGCAACGTCCGATCAACATCATTGCAGTTAAAATAATATATGTTTGTACACTTACTTGGCATATGTATCATTAAAGATTAGCATTATATAGCTTTATTTTTAAACATTATTTTAATAGTTCAAAAACTTTTCGAATAGATCGTATATTTGCATGACATGTATTAACATGTGTTTTCTTTTTTAATCAATATTTAATCATTTATTAAATAATTAATAATTTAATTTAATTTTTATTTGTAAAGAAGTATTGAGGAAAAGGAAAGGATTGGTTATTTAATATTATACTTAATATTTATTATAAATACACGTAAACTATTTCTCTATTAAAATATATAAGTGATAATCTGTTTGCAAAGAATATCACTGTATATTTTAAGAAATAAAAGAAGAATAACCAAAAAGGTAAATGAACAAAATTAATAACTATGTATTAATAATTATAAGCAAAATGTTAAGAATAAGAACTTAATTATTAAAAATATTTTCGGAATTTCAGATGCGGCTTTGTGATAACGTTGATGAAAAGCCGAATATACTAGATCTAGACAATCTAGACTTTAGAAAATATATTAAAGACATATTTTTTTATTAATCTCAAGATTTATTAATCTGTAGATTTGTCCTATAAAAAAATATCAGTCATCATTTTTCGAATGAAAAACCGATTAAAAATAAAGAATTATTTTCAGGAATTAATACTAAGAAATGTGATCTATAGTAAAAGTACATTCTTCGTTCTATTTTAATTTTCAAATAATTTAGATTTGACGAGACAAAATTTTAATTTAATCATTAATTACACAGGTAATCTAATATTCTAGAAAAAAAATTCTCTAAATTAAAAAATCTTTGAAGTATATCAATAGATTTGCACACATCGTAGTAACATTGGCCAGATAAGCTTTTTCGAACCTTAAAACGAGACGCTTTTCTTTCTCTTCAAAAATTTTCGCTTCATCGGCTGCATCGCGAGAACTTCTCGTGGATCACCAATCTCGTTTGTATCAATTAATGAGTTGATCCTATATTGTCTTCCTGCCGGAACGGAGGGCTGAGCAGTTTCCGGCTCATCGACCGGCATCTTGGGCAATTTCAATAGAAAGGTCTTGGGCTTCTCCAGTTCAACATTTGCGATCTTGCGCGGTCTGTCGAATTTCTGCGACAATGACATCGTTTGCTCGTCGTCGCCCTGGTTGTCGAACTTTGTCGCGTGTCGCTGGAACACAATGTCGGCAGCCTCCAGAGTACTCTTGGCCTTCTCTATCTCGGCGTTCAGATCGATCACATCGAAGATGCGATCCTGCAACAAGTGTCAGATACGACAAAAACATTCGCAAGAACAGCTAATATGGAGATTTTATTCGACTGAATTACGTCCAAATTATGTGCGAATTATAAAGTGCATTTGTAATTTATATAATTTTGATATATAACTTAAATTATAATAAATTAATCATTTACAATATGTTTTATTAATAGCTTTTTTTTTTAATTGGATTTGATTCTTAATATTCTGCAATTATTGACTCATTCTTGCGTTTAATTTAACCTGCATGTCTCGTCGCTTGCGTCTCAACTCCGCCATATCCTCCTCAAACGCAGCGGCCGCACGTTCTTTGAAACGTCTATGAGTAATCACGAAATCGTCTTCGTAAGGATCTTCCTGAATGGGCCGACCACGTCCGTCAAGTAAAAAGTCCAACTCGTCGTAGAAATCATCACGATTTCCCGACAAGTTACGAGAACCTAAAATATTAGTGAGATTGTGTTAGTTATTATTAATTGTAAGTTATTAATATTAATTTAATTTTTTTGTGCAATACAAAATAATAAAAACAAGTAACAATGCATTTATAATAATTCAAAATTACTTGTATTATATAGCCATTTATATTTAATAACAAATTAGATATATTTAAATCTAAAGCATATCGTTATTGTCTTATAAAAGAATATATACTGATAAATAAATAAATCTATAAATATATATATATGTATATATATATAAATGTTCGTCAGTTTTATGAACTTTATAAAAAATAGATTCTTACCTGCAGAGTCTCATTGCAGCTAGTGGAATCTTGTGCATGCAGAAAATGAAAGGGAAAAAACATTAAGATACATAAAATGTCAATAAAATAAAAAGTGTATAATGAATAAAGGAGATTTGGGGAAATATGTGATGTATGTGTCACCTGACATGCTCTCAGAAAAGAGTTTTTAAATAAGATTTATTCATAAATAAGAAAAAAAAAATATACATTTATGATAAATTCGGAGAATAGTTTTCTGAAAGAAACAATATTTCGAGACAAACTCGACAATTAAATTGCGACTTCGCATCTCTTTATAATATCGCGCTGGTAGTATTATAATAAGTTTTACAAAAATAATTTAAAAATTCAAATATAACAAGTTTTGCAAGAATAATTTTAAATATTAAAATATAACGTATTTATTAGGAATAACATTTAAGCTCCTTCGAATTACACCTAAAAAACGGAGAAGCGAAAAATTGTGCGAGAAATATCGTACGAAAATACGTCAAATCTTAAGCAATGTAGGTTTTAATTCAGTCATACATTTGTCAAATTTCGAATCGTTAATTTACAAAAAAGACTGAATATAAATAAAAATAAAATCGTGCTGAAAAAGAAGGATCAAGCGTATTTTCGAAAGACACGTCTCGCATAATTAAAGTATCGATACATTATTATAATTACAGAATTATGCGCAATAAATGTATACGCAATCATGAGCATGAACTTTGATATTACATTCTGTCGATAAAATTTATTAACTATTTACAGCCAGTAAAATTTATCGACTATTCGCTGTCAATAAAGCACTATTTAAAATTAATGGAATCGTCATATATTCGTTTCATGAATAGATCAACGACGATATAATATCCATATGAATGCGTGATCGCCGAAAAAATGGCGGTCACAATGCATATACATCGAAAACATATTCTAATATACTCGTGTATTCAAATAGAACAGTGCCTTACAGCAAATCGATTTACACATTATATTACACTGTAATCGAAAAGAAATTAAAACTACAATAAATATAAATTATTACTAATTATTATTACAGTCATTTTTAAAAACATTAAAAGAATGTAATTTAAAACTGCAATATAGATCTTATCATAAGCATATTAATAATTTTATTAATAATTTAGTTTCAATTATTGTATTTTGAAAAAATGATAAAATTTAAGCTAATAATAAAGTCATATTTAAATAATGTTTCAAGATAACAATTGACATGTTTAATGATTAAAAGTTGTTTTTCCTGTAATAGCTATGATCGACAAAGATTAATAATCTTTTTTTTTCTCTTTGGTACACAGAAAGAATGATTTCACTAAAGTAACCATTCTTTTCATGTAAGGACATAAACAATTAATAATGGATCCTCCTTGAAATCTTCCTCAAAGTTTTCAGTGAGTAATGCTTAATGGCTGTAAAACACTGTCGTGAGAATTAAAGTAGATCGCAAGATTTTCTAGAAGCTGACGTGCTTCTCTGCGCGTTCGGCGATGCGCACCTTCTTGCTGAGGGCCGACTGTTGAACGACGTCGGCATCAGCGGCCGCAGCGGCATTCTCGTTGACCAGCGCCCTGAGAGCCGCGGCCCTGCGTTCTCTTTTGGCTTGCCTCTCGGCGAGTTCCTCCATCTCCGACTCGAGATCGTGAAGACGCGCCTTCGTCTGCATGGCCCGACTGGCGGCGGCGCTGGTCTGTGCTAAGTCGTCGTCCTCGTTGATCAGTTTGGACCATCTGGCGAACGCTGGCTTGCTCTCGTCGACACGTTCGATCTCGTCGAAGAGCTTCGAGCGTCTCTTGAAGCTGTTTTCGACGTCTTCGATCGCCGTTTTGGCGCTCTTCCTGGCGGTCACCGTATTCTCCAGGAGATCGGTAGCGTTTCTTCTGGCCTGGCCCGCGGCATTCATGGCCTCGAAGTCGTCCTCGAGACCCATTGCTGCCACCCGGGCGCGAAACCGACGTGTCGTTGCTGTCACTTCGTCTGCGAAGTCATCGCCCAGCCTGCGACGTGCCGGTATGCGTTGCCCACGGCTGTCGTAGACGGTGTCCTCATCGTCGAAAGCTAGTAGAGGGTCGGTGAAAGGCGGTGGTTGGGAGGCGCGGGTACGAGGGTCGAGGTCGAGGTCAAGGTCACGACCAAGGGAGCCAGTGCGGGGACCGGAGAGGTCGCGCGTACCTGCAAAAACCGACATCAGAAAAACATGTTGATTTGTCCGAATAAGGATGGAATCTGATGAGCGATGATGGATATGTCGTTGAGAAACAGCGCCGAATGATCGAAGTTGCATCAACAATTTTGGATGAAAAAGGAAGACTGATGAGAGATACTGAGTGAATGAATTGTGATAACAAGATGGAAAATCTGGCGAACTCGCATTTCAATTAATTTCCTTAATTCTAATTAAACTATTTAAAAATAGGCAACATAAATATTTAATATAAATAATAATTAATATTCATTTCTCAATTTTTTTATAATTACTGTTAATATAAATTTACTTTATTTATGTATCAAGAAATAAAAAAATTTGTAAAATTTAAACTGTTTTAAATTATATTTAAATTATAAATTATAACCAGTGACGTTGAGGAAGAATTCAGGGAAAACAATATTTCGTTTGAGACATTTTTATTTAAAATTTATTTCACATTATGCATAAATATATAGGTATAATTATTTAAACTGGTGTAATCTTAAATAAAATTAGGGACTCCGTTTTTAACACTGGTTATAATTTGATCTCTAATAAAAATCTAAATTGACATTAGATACAACAGTAGCATAAATATCGTTTACATTTATAATTATTCGATTTATCTTTTTAAAAAAGAT